TATCATTTTAACGATAGAACATTATATCTAGACGAAACTGAAAAGATGAAAAAAATCGTCAAATCATTTCTTTTTAGCTAACCTGAGCTAAAGTGGGATTGGCAAAAAATCTTTCTGTTTTTTTTTTTTTCCAGTTAACTAATAACTAGTAGAATTATTGATGAAAAAATAGAAACTGAGTAATAAATGCTATGCTAGGACATTGGCAGGGGAATTAACTTTACAACTGTTACAGGATAAAAATAATGATACCCCTAATGGACAGTTTGGGAGAAATAAAGATTTTGGTTTTTCCCTCTGTTTGCCCTTTTATCTCGGTACCTCGAATTACCGAAATGCCCCTGATTTACCGAAATGCCCCTGGAAATTACCGAAATGCCCCCTAAAACTACCGAAATGCCCTTTAAAAACTTAAATATTTTGATTAATATGAAAGGTGGTGAGTTTATTATACATAATTTAAACTTTAAAAATAAAAAAAAAATATAAATGTGTTTTTTTGTTCAAAAACGTGTGTTTATCTAAGAGAGATAACTCTGGTATGTGTAGTTGATCTATCTCTATGTCATATTTCTTCGAAAAAATAATTACATCATTGTTTCAAATTCTATATAATTACTATCGAAATTTTTTTTTTACGTGAATATAAATTTTGTAATGCTTACTCATCGATCATTTATATGATATTTATTTTTTTAAATTTCGTTGTTAAATCCCGAGAAAAAAATCGTTGCCGGTGGGTTATAACCTAGCTAAGGCTAGGCAACTTCATATCTAATCAAAATAAATTTTGATATATTTGTTAATAGTTCATAAAAATGAGACATATATGTACAATAATCTACCGGTATTAAATCCGATCCGAGGAAAATCGTACACTTATATATATTTTTAAAACAAATGAAAGCAATGTAATTTAGTTTTCATATAAGCAGAATTATTTTCTGAATGTTGTCAATTTACATGCCGAATATTTTAAATTCATTGATTTAAACTTTTAAGTTTAATATGCTATAAACATTTCATAGTTTTGCTTAATTGGTGTATTAAATTATACAACTCTGAACCCCAGGGGTTTAGTCTCCCCTGCTGCATACACTACTGTTTATTATGATTGTGTACCGTTATCCATTCAAAAATTTGATGTCCTGTCTGTTGACAAGTACGTGTCATCCTCGTTAATTGCCATTTGGGTAGTTCTGTATCCATCCAGTTTTAATGAAAGTTACGCTTAAAATTTATAAATAAAAAATAATAAATAACGTTAAAATATTAAAATCCAAATAAAATAATATGTCACTTTATTAAAAGAAATAAATTTTACCAAATAGAAATAAATGTACACTATATGTTATGCAAAAGACATCTTTACCAAAATACGAAACAAAAGCTTGTCGATGATTGCATTGACAAATCGGACAGACGAGAAATCTTAGACTTAATATACGGGGATGACGGACTAATTACAGCAGATGATACCATTTGTTTCGAAGCAAAATGTGAGCATATTGAAGATGTCTCTCGAGAGCTGTCGGGAAAATTTTTAAAATATTTCCAAAACAAACTAAAATCTACTTTGAAACAAGACATATTTAACAAGACATACCGTATAAAATTTTGTCAACAAATTAAAAGAGAAAGAAAAAAGAACATGGATCATTAAATCATACAGTAATAATATAACAACGGACAATATAACACGCTTCCTGCTGCGACAATGCTGCAAGAGTTATCGCTCTTAGTAGTCACAATATTCGAGCGAATTAAAAGGTTTTTTTTTTAATTTTTGTTCCAAAAACACAGTTTTATAAATAAAATTTATCATAAATTGTCATAAAATGACCATTAGAATATAATTCAAGGGGCATTTCGGTAGTTTTAGGGGGCATTTCGGTAATTTCCAGGGGCATTTCGGTAAATCAGGGGCATTTCGGTAATTCGTGTTACCCCTTTTATCTTTATTCCACTTGTCTGTAAAAACTTGAACCTTGGCCGAACTTGTACCTTCTGTATGGTTTGCGCTAGGACTTCACTTTCATATTTCACATGTCAATTCATTCTGTATGAAGGCAGTGTCTATATGCAAGACCGTCGTGTACTTATTTTTCTTTGGCTATTTGCACGACCGTCGTGTATATAATTTTTTCAGTGACTATTTGCACGACCGTCATGTTTATAATTTTTCAGTGGCTATTTGCAGGACAGTCGTGTATTTATATTAATCAGCCATTCCGACGACCATTATCATGATTATATTTTACGCTATGGCATACATAGTTTTGTCCCCAGTTAAGTTAGCGAGAACGAACAAGATATGAGATAAAAAGAAAGTAATGAATCCGTCAAATTTTGACTTGGTCGATTTTAGGACCTTCCACCATGCAAACAACGCCAGGATGGTAGTATATACATATATAATATATATTGTATATAATATACAGTTGTGTATAATAGCTATATTACGGTCATGTGCATAGCTCTGGTAATGTGCGATTGCTATTTGCACGATGGTCGTGTAAATAGATTTATTTCTTATATATGTGCACGATAGTCGTGTATATATCTCAGCAATTTGCATTAGCTGTAAGCCTATTGGCATGACAGTTGTGTAAATAGACTTTCTATGCTCTGCGTTTGTATATCATCGGCCCTGTATCAACCTTTCTTTGGGTACCAATACTTTTTACCTTGACCTATGAGTTTGACATACTTTTGAAAACTTAAGCCTTGCAATTGACCATAACTTTTATGTATTTATTTTAACAAGACCTTTCTTTGGTACCATAAACATTTTTTAGCTCACCTGAGCTAAAAGCTCAAGTGAACTTTTCTGATCACATTTTGTCTGTAGTCTGTCTATCTGTAAACTTTTCACATTTTTGACTTCTTCTCAAGAACCACTGGGCCAATTTTAACCAAACTTGCCACAAAGCATCCTTAGGAGAAAGGGATTCAAGTTTGATCAAATGAAGGGCCAGTCCCTCTTCCAAGGGTAGATGAAAATATGAATTAATGAAAAATTAATAGTGTCTTTTAAAAATCTTCTCCTCAAGAACCGTTGGGCCAGGAAAGGTGAAACTCGTGTGGAAGCAGCCTCAGATAGTGTAGATTCAACTTTGTCCAATCATGACCCCAGGGGTAGGGAGGGGCCACAAAGGCTGATCAAAGTGTTATGTAGGAATATATAGGAAAAATCTTTTTAAAATGTTCTTTTCCAGAACCTTTAGGCCAGGAAAGATTAAACTCATGTGGTAGCATCCAAAAAGAAAATAGGTTTTAGGTTAAAGCTCTTCCCATAAATAATCATACGGACCCATTCATAAGCTATAAACAGTCACAGAAAATCTATTGAATGATCTACAGCTTTCAGCAGTGATAGGCATTCGACAGAACAAGTGCACATACCATGATAAACATCGACACTATACATGACAAGCGTAAAAAAAAGCTGATTACGATTGTATTTCTCAGCAGCTTATAAAATAAGTACATGTAGTGTGAAACTAAGAATTGATCCCACAGTTCATATACTTGAGTATAAAGGAAAATGAATAGGATTTATCACAAAAGTACTTGCATTAAGTTTGTAATATGTATCCTCTGTATGAATGGCATCATTAGATCACCTGAGTCTATGCACGCCCCCTGTCAGCTCAGGCACTTTTTTTCATACACAGGGCACCCCTACTTATTTTTTAGCTCTACTGGCCAGATCAGAAGAGCTTAGTAAGGTGTCCATTGTCTGCCTGTCTGTCCATCCATCTAGCTGTCCATCTGTCTGTAAACTAAACAATTTTTCAAAATGCTACTCCTCCTACAGTTTTGTTCTGATTTCAGTATAACTTGGCATACAAGTAGACTATACAAAGATACATAGTGTAGTGCATCGGTTTTTGGTTTCAATGAACGGTGTTGCCATGGTTACTAAAATTAGAAATGTCTTTGAAATTCCTTTAAAATGTTACTCCTACAGTTTTGGTCTGATTTCAATATAGCTTGGCACACAAGTAGACTACACAAAGATACATAATTTATTGCATCTGTTTTTGATTTCAGTGAACGATGTTGCCATGGTTACTAAAAATAGAAATTTCTTTAAAATTCCTTACAAACAATATTCCTGCTACAGTTTTAGTCTTAATTCAATATAGCTTGGCACACAAGATGACTACACTAAGATACATAATTTAGTGCATTGGTTTTTGATTTCAATGAATGGTGTTGCCATGGTTACTAAAAATAGAAAATTCGTTGAAAAGCTTTTTAAAATGCTACTTCTCCCAAAGTATTGGTCGTATTTTAATTTAATTTGGCACACAAGTTGCCCCCGAAAGAGACTTAATCAAGGATCATTATCATATTTATTGCTGTTGTAAAGTTTCAAGTCCAAATTGCTAATCTTCTCTTCCTTTGTTATAAGAACAAATCAGTAGAGCTACAGTCTCGACTGAGACTTCGGGTTTTACCACAAGTTACCTAACTCAATTTCAGGCATCCCCGGCTTCAATCTCACATTTTGTGAATATATCGATCATTAACCTACCGGTACTTTAAAATGACATTGTGTTTCTTCTCGAGACTTCTTTCTTGTTAATCAAATCATTTCAGAAGTCTCTGGTTGAGCCTTTTTATTGTAAACCACTCATTTATTCCTCAAAAATTACTTCAATACAAAGTAAGACGTCTTATAAGATACATGTATATGTATTTCTGGTTGGGGTTATAGAAGTAGGATTAAACCAGAGACTTCCGATTATAATATAATTTTACTGCATGAATTTGGATACAGCAAAACTCGTTTAGTACGAACACGGATACATGTATTGCAAATATTTGGATATAGCGAAGTCATCTTGGATCCCCAGCTTCATAAATTTAATGAAGTCTTTCTTACAAAGTTATAACAAATTACTGATATAGCGAAGTAATTTCAGAGGTCCCATTGACTTTATTATTACCAAGTTTTGCTGTATAACACATGTACACTTTTCTCTCTTCAGATGAGGCAGATTTTGTGTGTGAACCAGATCCAAATATCATAGCTTCAGCAAAATTTCAACAACTTCGTCTAGAATTCCTCGTGGCTGTAGAAAAAATCAGAAGGGAAACAGAGGCAGCAAAGGTCAAATACAGGCAGTTCAGTCAACAGTCTCGAGTACAAGCAGGAGGGCAACACTGCCAACAGAGTAGTTCCCAGCCTCCAAACACAGGAGAGCTCCAAAACAGTCACCAGACTCCACACACAGAAGAGCTACAGAGTTCTCATCCAGCTGCCCCGATATGCTCTGGAACCTCAGGAACAAAACAGATCTCACAACATTGTGATATTCCTGAGTTAGAATCTTACACTGAAAACTTATTAACGGTGCCTCCTCCAAGTTTAACAGCAGTTTCAAATAATAAAGACAAAACTTGTGCTTCATTGGCTGAAGGTATAGTAAATTGATTCTTCTCTCTGAAAAATTAAGGTTTTAATGATCCAGATATAAAATGGGGAATATCTACTAGGTGTGGTTTAAACCTAAGGCCATTTCAAGTTTTTCTTTGTTTAGTGTCTGTAGACAAATTGGTTTTGAGGTTTTGAAATTAAGGACAGACAATACGTTTCTAAATGATATACATTTGCCGAAGATTTTGTCATTGAAGTAAAGCTACTTTTACTAGTTAACTCACAAAAAAATGAGGTACCTTACCAGGCATTTGTAAAAGATACCAGAGGATGGTGTTGCATTTTCTTTTGGAAATAACAGATTTTTAGCTCACCTTAGCCGAAGACTCAAGTGAGCTTTTTTGATCAAATTTTGTCCATCTGTCTGTAAACTTTTCACATTTTCGACTTCTCAAGAACCACTGGGCCAATTTTAACCAAACCTGCTACAAAGCATCCTTGGGTAAAGGGGAGTTTAAATTATAAAAATAATGGGCCAAGTCCCTTTACAAGGGGAGATAATCAAGAAAAGAAAAAAATAGGGTGGGGTCATTAAAAAATCTTCTTCTCAAGAACTACTGGACCAGAAAAGCTGAAACTTATGTGGAAGCATCCTGGGGTAGTGTATATTCTATATTTAAAATTCTAGATTTTAAATTGTCCAAATTATGACCCATGTGGTAGGGTGGGGTCACAATATGTATTACAAAGGGGAAAATTGGTAAAGAACAGCATGGTCAAAGCTACTCAGGTGAGTGATGTGGCCCATGGGCCTCTTGTTTTTATACATTACGAAGATATATAAAACAGATATATGAGGAATATATCGTCTGACCTTAAAAAACACACACTAATTAAAATTGATAAAAACAAATCATTGAAATGCAATTTACGCTTTTGGGATCTCTCTATTTTATAGCAGTGTACCAAAAAAAATTGTTTCAATGAACGAGTAGTTTAACTTTGTTACAATGTGGGAAGAATTCCCGGATGATAAAGTATGTAAAAATTTTATATTTTTCCCATTTGCTTTTTCTCAAGCCTACAAGTGAGTCAGTATTAATGCAAATTGTTTGTTTAACACCTGTATTCCCTGTTCTTAAATAATTTAGAATAAATATTTTTCTGGCAGTGATATGTGTGCTAGATTCATATCACTGTGTCATTGATTCATCAATATATACTGTATCCAATTAAAAACCAGTAAACAATGCTTACCTGACAACAAGCACAACTGGATCGAGCAAATGATGACTAAAAATGTTTTTAAAAAATCTTAATTAATGAAGTTTGCACAGTGATTTGTTCAGAGCATTTTAAAATGCCATCGTCATACATGTTCAAAAAATCTATATATACATGTATGTCAAATAACAACTTTGTATTTTAATAGGTCCAGTTCATTTCCAAAAGGCACATGAAACAGAAAATGCAGGAACAGCAACAACTTCAGTGGTAGGTTACAACAATTGTGATTTTTCAAGATTTATTGTATTTTAGGGATGGTATTCATACACTAAAACAGTTAATTTGTGAACTTTTAAGAACTTCTTTATTTTTGGAATTTGACCAATCTGTAAAAGAACTATATGCAGTATTAACCAACATTTGCCCCCCAAAATCAAACTTTGATGGAGTAATATTTAATTAAGTCCTTAAACAGGGGAGTATATGCTGACTTCAAAGCACTGAATAATTATGTTCCCCAAACGAAGTTGGGGAACATATTGTTTTTACTCTGTTTCTTATTATTATTATTATTATTATTATTATTATTATTATTATTATTTTTCTTCTTCCTGGGAAAATTTTGTCCACGAGTGATCTTGTAAACTACACATCCGACTTAGGTGAAACCTTTTTAGGGTTAGTAGGCATGTTATGTAGAGTTGCCAAACAAAGGTCATTTTGCGCGCACGTGCTTGCAAGAGCGCGCACGTGCAATAGGTGAAATTACCAATATAATGGATATTGCCGTAACTTTTCTATTTTTTGATGAAATTTTTTGAAACTCATAATGTAAGGATACATTAGTAGTATAAACAAGATAGCATGGTCAAAATAGCAAGATCTCACGCGCATGCACGTGCGCTTCGCTCTGATTGGCTGAAACTAAAGTCTCAATAACTTTCTTGTTTCTTGTCATAATCCTTTGAAATTTTGAACATACTCCTACATTATGAAGATCTACCGCATGATATATAAGAATTTTCATGAAAGCATGCGCATGTGCGCGTGCTGCAAGCTGATTGGCTGAAACTTTAAATGGCAATATCTCCTTTGTTTTTTGACGAAATTCTTTGAAATTTAAAATATAGTCATGCATTAGGATATCCTACAAAATGATATAGAAAAAAAATCATGAAATCACGCGCATGCACGTGTGCTGCAATCTGATTGGCTGAAACTTTAAATGGCTATTTCTCCTTTGTTTTTTGACGAAATTCTTTGAAATTTAAAATATAGTCATGCATTAGGATATCCTACGAAATGATATAAAAAAAAATCATTAAATTACGTGCATGCACGTGTGCTGCAATCTGATTAGCTGAAACTTTAAATGGCTATAACTCCCTTGTTTTTCAACCAAACAGGATGGGATTTAGAACATAGATAGATGTAAGGGACTCCTACAAGAAGGTATGATCATCATGCACGTGCACGCACGTGCGTGCATTTGAAACGAGTATATTTAAAAATACTCTTGAATGAGTGATTTTTATTACTTTTGGACTGAATGCTTTAATATATAGTATATTAAAATATATGAATAGTGTAGACAAGATGATATGGTCATAACGCACATGCATTCACATGCGCTTGCATACAATGCTAAAAATTGAATGTAATTGGTATCCTTCTGGGAAAGCGTTGTAAAAGTCAAAAATGCACAGAGTTTGTCTTATTTAATGAAGCTTACAGGGAACATGGCACCGAAAGGGAGTTGGGGAGCGTTTGGGGAACATCTGTAACGGTTCCCGTTACAATTAGCACTAGTTATTATTATTCTTATTATTTTTCTTCCTGGGAAAATTTTGTCCGCGAGTGATCTTGTAAACTACACATCTGACTTAGGTAAAACCTTTTTAGGGTCAGTAGGGATGTTATGTAGATTTGCGGAACGAAGGTCATTTTGCGCGCACGTGCTTGCAAGAGCGCGCACGTGCAACACGTGAAATGACCAATATAATGGATATTGCTGTAACTTTTCTTTTTCTTGATGAATTTTTCTGAAACTCACAATGTAAGGATACATTAGAAGTATAGACATGATGGCATGGTCAAAATAGCAAGATCTCACGCGCATGCACGTGCGCTTCGCTCTGATTGGCTGAAACTAAAGTCTCAATATCTTTCTTGTTTCTTGTCATAATCTTTTGAAATTTTGGACATAGTCCTACATTACAAAGATCTACAGCTTGATAGATAAAAAATTTCATGAAAGCATGCGCATGCGCGCGTGCTGCAAACTGATTGGCTGAAACTTTAAATGGCTATATCTCCTTTGTTTTTTGACGAAATGCTTTGAAATTTGAAACATAGTCATGCATAAAAATATCCTAAAATATGGTATAGAAAAAATTCATGAAATCACGCGCATGCACGTGTGCTGCAATCTGATTGGCTGAAACTTTATATGGCTATATCTCCTTTGTTTTTTGACGAAATGCTTAGAAATTTAAAACATAGTCATGCATTAAGATATCCTAAAATATGATATAGAAAAAAATTCATGAAATCACGCGCATGCACGTGTGCTGCAATCTGATTGGCTGAAACTTTATATGGCTATATTTCCTTTGTTTTTTGACGAAATGCTTAGAAATTTAAAACATAGTCATGCATTAAGATATCCCAAAATATGATATAGAAAAAAACTCATGAAATCACGCGCATGCACGTGTGCTGCAATCTGATTGGCTGAAACTTTATATGGCTATATCTCCTTTGTTTTTTTACGAAATGTTTGGAATTTTAAAATATAGTCATTCATTTAGATATCCTTCAATACGATAAAGATAAAAATTTATGAAATAACGCGCATGCATGTGTGCTGTAATCTGATTGGCTGAAACTTCAAATGGCTATAAATCCCTTGTTTTTCTACCAAACAGGATGGGATTTAGAACATAGATAAATATAAAGGACTTCTACAAGAAGGTGTAGTCATTATGCACGTGCTTGCACGTGCGTGCACGTTAAATGAGTAAAGTTAAAAATACACTCGAATGAGTGAATTTTTTAATACTTTTGGATTAATGCTTTGATATTAAGTATATTAAAATTTGAGATAGTGTAGACAAGATAATATGGTCGTTATGCACATGAACACGCGTGCAATGCCTATTTTTAAATATATTTTGTATTTTTCTGGGAAAACCTTGATTAAGCCTAAATTTCATAAAGTATTTCTTAACTAATAGAGATTACAGGGAATAAGGCACCAAAAGGGAGTTGGGGAGCGTTTGGGGAACATCTGTAACGGTCCCCGTTACAATTAGCACTAGTTTCATAAGTAATGACGTCATATGTACGTAATGACGTCACAAATATGACGTAAATTTCAGTTTTTTATGAATTTTGCAGAAAAATGTACATATTTCGTCGATATTTTAAATAAAAGTCACCGAGCGCATGTGTGTTCAGGATAAATATTTTGATATAATGTGTAGAATGATAATATCAATGAAATATGTCAATATTGTTCCTGAACACACATGCGCTCTATAAATTTTAAAGCTTAAATTGTTGAAATTTTGTCCATTTTGTCCTCTTTCTGAAAAAGGATATAAAATCGGACTAGTTTGTGACGTCATAAAAACAGAAATTGTGAATACACTGCTCTGGAACTATAATATTTTCTGTTAACTTATATTTCTCGTACAATTTATTGAATTCAGCACATTTCAGGAAGTTTTCAAAATTTGACTTTTGTGGGGGCAAACATATGCAATATACCGCATATAGTTCTTTCACAGAAATTACCCATTATACAGAATTGCATAATAAGTGTAAACAATAACTGCTGTATTGCCATTTCTTTTTCTTACAGGCTGGCCCCAGGATAGAGCTTCCTGATTTGTCAGTAAACTGGAGAACCGGCGGGGCAAATTTTGGGGGACAACTTCCAACAATGGAAAATCAGGGACTCCCTCTTTCTCTGGATTCCAAGTTCAGTTTTGGTGTTTCTGATGATGTTTTTAGCACAATTAATGACTTGGAAAGTAGACCAAATTTAACGTTCAGTAGAAAAGGGCGAGGAAGCAGGACGGACTCTAATAGTACACTACGTAAAGTCGCCAAACTGTCCTCGACTGCTTCTGTGCATTCAGACATGGGCGAGTTTTCAGGTCAGATTTTGACTCATTCCACTGGGGAGGGAACCAGTGCTAGTGAATCTGACGATACAAGTTTGTCCACCAGCTCAAACCGCTCGCAGGGGGGGAAATGTAAACGGTACAAGCGAACTCAGGAAGCGTTACAAAGCTCGGGACTTCTGGACGTGACAATGAAGACCGCCGAGCTAATGAAAAGAAATAGGCAGCTACAAAAAGACATTCGGGATTTCAAACAAGAAACGGTGGAGTTTCTCAAGACTGTTTTACAGAATCCCGAAAATAGTGAATATGCTAAAGTTATTCATGGCAAAAAAACTGTACATTAGATAGTCATACATATATGGGTTTGGGGTTAAAAAGGGGAATAAATCAAAGTGAATGGAAATTTAAAGATTTTTACAATAGTAATAATTAATTGTATTTATACATATTCAAATACTTTATGTACATGGTTATTTGGTGATATATTTTAGATTTAGTTTGTAATCAGTATACATGTACAAAAACGTATAAATTTAGAGTGAAATCAGGCTATAATTATGTAGATTTGAAACTAAGCTCAAAAACTGCTGAACCAACGGTTATGAATAATAGACTGTACATTAAATAAGCTTATATTTTATCTGAATTTTGTTAATGTCGAAGTTTTTGTTCATCCATGGACAATATTTTCATTTCAGTGGCAATAAATATGTAATTCCTGCACTTCTGTACTATTGGAATCTTTTGAAAAGTACTCTGTTATGACCATAGTTTCTATGTCATGTGTAGATGCAAGTGTGAATGTTATGATTACCTGGCTTTGTATTTTTACTTAAAGAATTGATACAGCTTGAATATTGAGAGTTTTAAAAGTTAACTTGATCTTTACTGTGTACAATATACTACAGTATAGTAGTTCATTGAAAGGGGGGGGGGTGTTGTCGTTGGGATGTTACAATAAGATGTACAGAAACATGCAAATATTGTAAGATTGTTTATTTAAACAATAAAAGTGCTTTCATTTCCAGGTTCTTCCTTAAATAAATTTTGCAACAACTAAATGTCTAAAAAACACCTTTTGTGCAAGAGCCAAATGCAGTTCCTAGTATTAAGGCACGATTCTTAAGGACCCCCTATACACCAGTGCAAAATGTTTTTTGGGACATTGAGAAAAATGTATTGTATAAAGCTGTTATAAATATTGAGTTTATTTATTTGATTTTCACGATATGGTATCTAGCCCCCCCCCCCCCCCTTGGAAAAAATGACCAAACACAACACAATATCAGTGAATAGAAATCACAGTTGTTTACTTCCATAGAGAAAATGCATGTTAATATTAGTAATATGTTCAATTAATTATCTTGGCCTTTTAAAATGTTAAGAATACTTGAATTTATTACAACTTGAGAAATGTACTATGAATTTCTATTTTATAAAATTTTGATCTAAAGGTAGATCACTCTTAACTGCCAAAAAAAAAATACCAACTCTTTAGTGTGCAGTGTAGAGAGGGTTCTTAAGATAACCCTGGCGTCCTAACTCTCTAGGTCAACTTTTTTTTCTAATATTGAAATTTACGAGATTTCTTTTATTGATCAATTGATTTTAACATTATATACTGTAACGTGACATTTTAAAAACATGTAACTACCTGTAACCTTTATATAAACATGTTTAATATAAACCTAAAAGAAGTGCAGATCGTTCCACATTCATGAGTCATACATGTAGATTCCGCTGCTGCTGCAATTTTCTAGTCTTCAATTTAAAACGTGTATGACCTTTAGAAAGAACATACATGTATATATTGAATTAATCTCGCCACTTAGGAATTTTATAATAGGCCCATGGGCCAAATCGCTCACTTGAGCACTAAGGCTAATAAAAGAGCGAATACCAACCCATTTTTTGAAGGTTTAAAATGCATGTGGTCCTGACCTACCCCTAAAAGGTGAAAGGGGGTGGGTAGGTTATGATTTGAATTAACTTGAATCTACACTTACTAAGCTTACATATTCCTTTGACTTACAGTGGAATTTTTCCCTATAAGTTTTGACTTTCTTCTTTGCCCCACCCTACCCCAGGGGTCATGATTTGAACAAGCTTGTATCTACATTACCTAGGGATGCTTACATATAAATATGAGCAAGCATGACTGTTGTTCTTGAGAAGAAGATTTTTTAAAGAGTTTTCCTTTATATTCCTATGTAAGACTTTGATCGTCCAGTGCGGCCCCACCCTACCCGGGGGTCATAAATTTGAATCTACATTACCCGAGGATGCTTCCATATAAATACGAGCAAGCATGGCTTTGTTACGTTGTTCTTGAGAAGGAAGATTTTTAAAGATTTTTCCTGTATATTCTTATGTAAAACTTTGATCGTCCAGTGTGGCCGCACCCTACCCCGGGGGTAATGATTTTAACAAACTACCTGAGGATGCTTCCAAAGAAATATAACCAAGCATGGTTTAGATGTTCTTGCGAAGTACATGTTGATTTTTAAAGATTTATCCTGTATATTCCTATGTAAAACTTTGATCGTGCAGTGTTGCCCCACCCTACCCCCGGGGGTCATGATTTGAATCTACATACTCCCATTTACTGAGGATGCTTCCATATAAATACCGGTATGACCAATCATGGCTCTGTAGTTCTTGAGAAGATTTTTAAAGATGTTTTCTATATATTCCCATGTAAAACTTTGATCGCTCAGTGCGGTCCCACCCTACCCCCGGGGGTCATAAACTTGAATCTACATTATCTGAGGATGCTTTTATATAAATACGAGCAAGCATGGCTTTGTTGTTCTTGAGAAGAAGAACGTCCAATGTGACCCCACCCTACTTCCGGGGCTCTGGATTAAAAAAAAAAACTTGAATCTACACTACCTGAGATTGCTTCCACATTAGTATCATCTTTCCCAAACAAGTGGTTCTTGAGAAGATTTTTCAAATACGCCACTTACACTTTTACTATTTCTTAAATTATCTCCCCTTAAAAGAGGACGGGACCCTTCATTTGAAAAAAAAATTGAATTCCCTTTACCCAGCGATGGTATCTGGCAAGTTTGGTTGAAATTGGCCCACAGATAAAATGTTTAAAGTTTACAGGCAGACTACAGACAAAATGTGATCAGAAAAACTCACTTGAGCTTTCAGCTCAGGTGAGCTAAAAAGTAATGTGTGTGCGTTAGGCCATTATTTTTGTTTCCCTCTCAGCTTGCCCTAATTTTTTCAGATAGGTTGGTAGGAATGTAAATAATTTCTACCCTCCACTGCTTTGAAAAACACCATTATAGAATTAAAACCAAAATTTAAATGATGCTGTAAATAAAACTAAAATAAGCTCCTCGAGTAATGCTAAAAACAAATCTGAACAATGCCAAAGCAAGATAAACAGCTAATTAAAATAAACCCCAATAATAAAATAAAATAGCATTTTTGTTTTGATTTTCAGTTTGTTGGCAAACTTGCAAAACTTTCTGATTGCGCCATGTAATTTGAAGCGTCGATATTTTTTCACACCTATGTCTAGCAATCGCTTCCAATATTGTAAAATGATAAAATCTGACGAACAAATGAAATAAAAAATAAAATTGAAATATCAACAATCGGTTCATGTACAGCTGGGAAAACATTCAAATATTGTCCAGTTCAAATGAAAGGCAACGCTAAAAACAGATGTCGAACCGCAGAAAAAAATCTTTAAGCTTTGTCAATACTCAATACCTATTCGATATTTATAGGGGGAATTTAAATATACCATTGTTTGGTATACATTGAAATTGTGGCAGTTTTTCAACAATGTCTGTGCTGTAGACTTTTAAAATGAATTATGGAAGTAATATCGTGGCTAGGCGGTTAGGTTAAAACTGATTAAAGCTGAAAAAGTCAGATTTATTTCATTCCTGTTTAGATAATCCTTAACCCGCTAGTGGTTCTATACATGAAAGTGGCGAAGTGGTTGCGAAGGAGAGGTCGAGTTTAGGGATGACAGCTTTTCACTATAATGTTATTTACGAGGTAAGTAATATAACCTTTTTTGGAACCATATTACGACATACATGAACATTTTTTCTTTAAGACTTTGCAACATTTTGATAATTCTATAACAGTATATGCAGTTGGGGTGATCGACTATTCTAGATTTGACCTGATTTCAACACAGTATTGAAACCTAAGCTGCTGTATGCTGAATATACATGGTCTTTAAAATTAATCTAGTATTGATAGACGGGTAAATACTTAAGAGAGTCTTTAGTAAATATTATCAGTAAAGTCATCAGCTCGTTTACTAGTCAATAGCGGATCTAGGACCAGTGGCCTTTCGTTTGGATTTTTTTGTTGTTTAAATTTTGTTTGTAATATCCTAAAATCAACGGAAAAACAACTCTTATTTGTTATTTTTCATCCCCCCGGACCCACACCAGGGCTTTGCCCTAGACCAATGAGGGTTTTCCATGCAGTTCTCGGACCCTTGACCTTAGATATGTACTGCGCCTCCCGTTATGAAATTTCTGGATCCGCCGTTGCTAGTATTCAAAATAAGTTTAATGTGATACATCGCTTAATACTTAATTAATTGCATTACAATCATCAGAGTCATTGCGAGTTACTTCCCTGTCGTCTATCAACTCTCTCTCTCTCTCTCTCTCTCTCTCTCTCTCTCTCTCTCTCTCTCTCTCTCTCTCATACATGTTATGTACTATACTTTTTTGAAACAGAATAGACAGAGTAACGTCGAAATCCGACAAGTATTTTGCCAATAAACTTTTCAAGCGGGTATAATTATAATAATCGGGATGTCCGTCCGTCTGTCTGTACGTCCGTCTGTTACGCTTTGGAGTACCCCATCTCTTATCCGCAACTCCATTTATACTACTGAATGAAATTTGATGAGACTTTCAGAGAAACTTTTTTACTTTTTGATCCAACGCACATATTGGGTTTCCCATATATAGCAAAACATGGACACTGCCATTATATTTATATGGGAGGCGGGGTGGGGTATCATTTAGTGAGCTCATCGCTCACAGTACCTCTAGTTTGCTATCAGAAAAACGTATTTTTCATTTTACTAGTTCAAAGAATCACAGGTATCAGATATTTAACCCCAGGGATAACAAAATAATAGTACCATAAAAACGATAAAACATTGTAACATTATCATTTATGTTTTATCATTGCTGCTTTATCATTCAACACAGCCTAGTGAGAAAAACTACTTTTAAAACCATTAATAGTATTACTTTGGAAATTTTATGACCTTTTTTGACCCAGTTTTATAAAAAATTTCATGTTCAACTGAAAGGTCTCGTATAATGGCTTCTTAAAAGTAACATTTTAGTCAATCAAGGAGCTAAGAAATTAAATGTGGCTATATTCAATAATTTCATAGTTTTATGATTGAATATATTAACATTGAATAGTTCTTATATTCACATGTAGTGTTTTTTTTCAACATCTGAGAACACTTGACGAATTCATTGAATAAAAGGAATTGTCATTTACTTACCTAAATCAGAAATTTAAGCTGGTTACTGCATATTGAATGATTAAAATCTTGCAAAATATTTTTTTTAATTTTCATAAAATGCCAAATATTTTTCAATAAAAAAAATAAAATTGATATAAAAGAGAGATATTCGCTAAATACATGTATGTGTTGTTTGCTAGTCATTTTGTAAAACTGAACCATGTGATTCTAAGGAGCTGACATTTGTAGATCAGTATAGGTGCTTCGCGAATATGTCTGTTTTCTCACCTAACTTTAACTTTTATTAAAATGATTTATGATGTTTGTCGTTTTCACTCCTGTGCAGTTTTAAAATATTTTCCCATGACACCATGATGAATTTATATAAAAACAAATATTCGTAAAATTATAATTCTTTTTTTTTTTACAGTAAAGTCGTTGACTGTGCAATTTTGTCCACTTTTATAAATGGGCTGTGGAAACACAAAACAAAAAGTCATTCAACTTCATCCAGAAGAGAAAAAGAAAGAAAAGACGGTCGTGTTCAAGGAGCCTCCAGTTGACGTCATTAACTACATACAG